TGGTCCACCCTTTCCCTATTGCCAGCATGTGGTTTGCGTTCACATCACAGCATCCAAGAAGGTTCGTCCACTTTGGGCTGAATCCAAGCTGGATTCAATGTCTAAGAGGTCCTGTCCCACAGTGAGGCAGGAGATCCTCAGAGTCTATGGCAGGGTCATAGAGAGCAGCGCACCTGGTCTCTATCTGGGGCCATCAGGATCTAGCCCCGAGCCACGCAGGCCAGCTTCCACCCCACCAGGAGTGTGGATGTGAAGCCTGGTTAGGAGAGCCATCCTGAGGCTGGGGGTGAAGCTGCAGCTCTGTGGGCACCTAGCCAATCCCCACTTTCCAGAGTGATCGTTAACACTGAGCTCAGGGCAGCTAACATGAATTCAGAGCTCTGGAGGCTTCCAGAGAGAAATGACTTAGAATAGAACTGAGCTGGCAAGATCTCCAGATCTGAAGCTGAGTAGATAGTACAAAGCAGGACACAATAGATTTGGATCATGTACCTATAGGTTCTGTGAATTGAAGAAAGTTACTCGAACACTCTGTACCCGTTTCTCCACTATAAGTAGGAGATCATGCACCTCGCTCACAGCCTTATCAGAAAGATTAAATAAGTTAATATCTGTAAGATTCCAGAGTAGTACATGCCACACACACAAGACCTTGTTAAATAAATGAAATACATTTTTATCCTTTATCCCATAACTTAAAAATGCCATTTCTGGGGTGCCTGGGTGGTTCAGTCAGTTAAGCATCTGTCTTCAGCTCAGGTCATGATCTCAGGGTCCTGGGATGGAGCCCTACATCAGGCTCCCAGGTCAGCAGGGAGTCTGCTTCAACCTCTCCCGCAGCAGCTCCCCGCTTGTGCTCTTTTTCTGTCTCTCTCTCTGTCAAATAAATAAATTAAATCTTAAAAAAAAAAAAAGCTGTTTCTGCAGGGAAGCCATCTAAGACACACACTTCCCCCAACACCAGGTTAATTCCCCTTTTAGCTGATCTTGTAGTATTCTGTGTTCCTCTTCATTACATTTATCAAAAATAATCACGTCACTCCAGCAGAATGGAGGTTCATGCCATCAGAAGCCACATTTGTACTGTGTGCCACTGTATCTAGCACTAGCACAGCATTTTGCACATAGCAGGTTCTCAGCATTGTTGAATGAGTGAGTGAGTGAGTGAGAGAAAGGAAGGATGAGGGCTGTGTCTTCTTCTGAGTGCCCAGCGTGTGGCATAGCCCAACACAGCAGGTGCTCCTAAATGACAGCTACATTGGACCTAACTAGAACTCTTGAGAGAGTCCTAACCTAAAAACATGTAGCCTTGAGTACTGTTACCGCACAGCTGTTAGTTATAGCCACGGGAGCTAACGCAGGGATGCTGTGAAAAATATCAACAAGTTATGACACAGCGCGACAACACCTCTGGTGCCCCTGCCCTGCCAGCTGCTGTCCCTTTAGTTGTTGGATAGTGGAAAGCCTGCTGATCGATCCACAGGGCGGGTGGGCTGCCTGTGGGAGGTATTCAGACTTGAGGTTCTTTCGCACCAGGTAAGGAAACATTGCACTATATTAACAACCAATGTGGCTTCACAGGTATAAAATAGCTGATGTCAGCCCTGAGCCCCAAGCAGCATGCTGGGCAAGAAGGGACAGCTGACAACAACAATGGTCTTAGGAATACCTGTGCTTCAGGGATGCACAGAAGAAACTCATGCGAGGACTTCAAGAACAACAGAGCTATGGAAGAGGGACCAGCAGCATTGTTCTAAACTCCAAGAAAACTCCTCGAAGAAAATTGGTCTACAGGGTCAAATGTTGCAGTAACCTCCAGGTTACAGAATAGCAAAAGCCATACACTAGGGACATCAGTATTAAACTGGTGACAGTTCCAGGAATGCTGTCCTAGAGTGCTGAGGGCCACCAGGATGTTGATTTATTGGAATGAGGAGCAATGGAAACCTATGTACAGGTGTCGATCTTCTCTCTGGAAAGACAGGGTTATTTACCTTGGTTAGAGACTGCTGCTAGGGTCAAGAGAGTACTCAAGCTATTTACTAATTTACACGTTTATAAAAGGAGAGACCTACAACATACTTAAAAAAATATGAAGGGACCATTAGGAATGGAGTAGTTGAAAATACTGAAGCAGGGATAAATAATACATTTGAAAGATAAGTTAGCTGTTATTTGCTATCTGGAGGTAATATAGAGCCAGAAAAAGGAATACACTCCCTCTTCAAATATGCATGTGTTGTTCACAAAATTGATTTTATTCTGAGATACAAGAATGTGCTCATTAAGGTATTAGGTCTTGAGAGGCAGATGGTATATACCGTATACCATATTCACAGACAGTCAAAGCCAAAGCAAGTAATCATCTACCAAACAATGAAAAGTGCCCAAAACATGAATGTTATAAAATAATGCATCAGAAGGGAACACATGATGGGGCGGTGAGGAGAAGCCATGAATACAACAGATTACAACGTACTGTCAAATAGGGCCTTAAGAGGAAAAATATATTGCTCCAGATATTTTTATGTTCACAATAAAGTATCTGAAGCATCATGAAAGGAGTCTGTGCTTAAAAGAACTTTAAGCAAGTGAACAAAGTAACAAGCCAAAAGAAGGAAGAGGGAGATACCAAAACGGAAAAAAATCACAAAAATAAAACACAAAAAGCAAATATAGCAAATGTTTTAATACATGCTAATATATGAAATTCAGAGTATGAACTCTGCAGACGATTGCAGAGTCTAAAGAACAGATGGCAACAGTTTAAGAGTAATTACAGCTGTCACTTATTAAGCAGCTTCTATAAGGTATCTGTCTTCACAGCACTGTAATAGGGAATCTCTGGTTTTTTCTTTTTACCTGCAAGGAAGCTAAAGCTTAGTTGGGATTAGACCTTAGTCATTGATTAAACTGTTTTCTCTGCACCAGATTGTCTCCGCTGGGAAGAGACAAACAGGCAGAGAAAAGAGAGAAAAAATTAAGAATAATTATGGTGAATTCACAGCCCAGATTTACATGCACAGTTCAAAGTGACTGCTTTTTTTTAAGTTTTATTAAAATTTTTTTTTTATTTAGAACACCCCTACACCCAACGTGGGGCTTGAACTCACAACCCTGAGATCAAGAGTCGCAGGCTCTTCCAACAGAGCTAGCCAGGAGCTCCAAAGTAACTATGAAAAAAGTCTATTAGATTTTAGTGAAAAACCAAAACTTATCTATGATAAGCATACAATAAACATCTGAATCGTACCTTCATACTTTCTTCAGACTCTCTCGCCAGGAATATCTGTTTTGTACTTTATTCTCTACTCCAATTATGTCATCAAATCTTCACAAAATTGCAATTTAAGAAACATAAGAAATGAGCAAAGGAAGAAAGAGAGAGAAAGAGAAACCAAGAAACAGTCTCTTAACTGTAGGGAATACACTGATTCAGGTCACCAGAAGTGAGAGGGTGGGCGATGGAGAAAAAGGTGATGGGGATTAAGGAGGGCACTTGTTCTGATGACCACCAGGTGATGCATAGAATTGCTGAATCAGGGATCCCTGGGTGGCGCAGCGGTTTGGCGCCTGCCTTTGGCTCAGGGCGCGATCCTGGAGACCTGGGATCGAGTCCCATATCGGGCTCCCGGTGCATGGAGCCTGCTTATCCCTCTGCCTATGTCTCTGCCTCTGTCTCTCTCTCTCTGTGACTATCATAAATAAATAAATTAAAAAAAAATTAAAAAAAAAAGAATTGCTGAATCATTTATTGTACATCTGAAACTAATATAAACACTGTGTTCACTATCCTGGAATTTAAATAAAATTAAAAATCCACAAAAACACAAAAATCTTCACGAAATTCTGACAATGGCATTTATATTTATTCCTATTTGCCAGGTGAGGAAATGGGGAAGTAGAAAGATTAATGGCTGACCAAGGATCCTACAAGAAAGTTAGCAACAGAGATGATGCCTAATGTCTAATGATCTAATATCACGGGAATATTTAAAAGTCAAATCTACTTTTAGATTTGAGATGCAGGGGAGCCCTGGGTGGCTCAGCGGTTTGGCATCTGCCTTTGGCCCAGGGCATGATCCTGGAGACCTGGGATCGAGTCCCACATCGGGCTCCCTGCATGGAGCCTGTTTCTCCTTCTGCCCGTGTCTCTGCGCCTCTCTCTCTCTCTCTCTCTCTCTCTATCATGAATAAATAAATAAAATCTTTAAAAAATATTTGAGATGTAATTCACAGTCTATAAGAAATTCACCCTTTCACAGTATATATGATTCAGTGACTCAGAGTATTTTCATGAGGTTGTCTAACCAGCTCCACTATCTCATTCTGGAACATTCTTACCACGCCAAAAAGAGCCCTGGGACCCATCAGTACTCACTGTCCTTCCTTAAACCCCTGGCAACCACTAATCTACCTTCTGTTTCTACGGATTTGCTTTGTCTGCACATTCCTAGGGGTGGACTCATTCATATAAGTATGTGGCCTTTTGTGTCTGGCTTCTTTCACTCACCATAATATTTTCAAGTTCCACTAATGTGATAGCAGGTAACCCTGGATTCAAGAGTGGAGGGACAACCCAGACTTCTCCTATTGAGTCTTCCCAATTTGCAGATGGTGAAACTGAGGTCTGAGATCACCCATAGAGTTAGTGGCACCCAAGTCCCACACTGCCTAACACTATTATTTCCACTGCACCACAACTGTCCAGACAATTGGTATAATAAAGACGAGCTTTCACAAATAATTAAAAGTGTTACATTAATTCGATAAACCATAGCTTAGAAATAATGAAATATATGGTAATAAGAGCTGGTATTTTACTATTGTCACATTTTGCAAGAAGTCCCATAGATATTTATTTCATGTGACGTGGGAATGGTATCAGATGCTCCGGCAGGAAAACTGGGTGTAAGTACCAGGACTTGTCTCGTGACTTGAAGTCAACATTCCCTCTCTCTGCACAGAGGTAACTATTTAAAAAGCCAAATAGGAATTACCCTCAGTGAAAGTTCCAAATTTTCTGCTCCCCAGAGATCCATGCCTTTGTCGTATTGTCCAATCTCATTAAAATAATGCCTGTTTATAGCAAAAATTCCTCCAGCCATTGCAGGTGACCTAAAAGGGACACATAAATATGAAATCACAGATTCAGCCATTATAGATTTTTGCCAAAATTATATTGAATATTAGCAATAAAATAAAAACTAGTAAACAGGAATATTACCATCAAAATTGTTAACTTAATATATATTTAGGTATGTAAAATTAGTAAATCGGAACCAAAACTACCTAAAATTTGTACACAGTAACTTTTCTTTCTTATGATTTATTTCTTTATTTGAGAGAGAGAAAAAGCACATGCATGAACAGGATGAGCAGAAGAAGAGGAAGAGAGAAACTCAAGCAGACTCTTCATGGAGCCCAAAGCCCATGGTGGGGCTCGATCTCACAACCCCAAGATCACAATCTGAGGTGAAACCAAGGGTCTGACACTGCACCAACTGTGCCACCCAGGTTCCCTCCGCAGTAACTTTTACTTAACTCTCACAGAGTTGTATGATGGTATCTTCTAAATGCTTTTTCTTGAGAGGCAACATTATCTTTAGAATGTGCATTTCCCTTTGGGATAACTATTGGGTATTAGAGTTTACAGATCTCCCTTTCTAAGCACATGAAGTGAATTATAATATTTACTTTTGGGAAAACCATAATGTTACAAAGCATCTTTTTCTTGTTCACCAATAGCAGGGCCCAATAACACTAAGGTAAGTAGTTTGAAAATAATTACATGTTCATGCATTCATTTATTTTTTTAAAAGTATGTCTTAAACACCTATGAAGTGTTGGAGATAAATTAGTGAATCAATAGGGCAAGATCCCAGCTCAAGTAGGGGCAAGGGTAGAAGCAGGGACACCAGTTGCTGTAGTGGTCCCAGAGAAAGAGGATGGGATCGTGGATAAAGTATAACAATGAAGGCAGTGAGATGTGGTCCAATCTCTGATGTATTTTGAAGATGGAACCAGGTTTGCTTATGAGTGGGATGTGGTGTGCATAGAAGGAAGAGGAGGGTAAGGACCGTATCCAGCGTTTTGGCCTGAGTACCTGGGAGGTGATATTGCCATGCACTGAGATGGGGATGCTGGTGTGAGTGTGTGTGTGTGTGTGTGTGTGTGTGTGTGTGTGTGTGTGTGTGTGTAGGTTTTGGTGGGAAAATTCAGCTAGGGACATGTCTGAGATGTTGAGTCAGCATTCAAGTGGAGATGCCAGTAGGCAGTTGGATGGAGGAGTCTGGCACTTGAGAGCAGCCAGGGCTGGAGGTAGAACTTTGGGAGTCCTCAGTATAAGATGGATAGGAAGCCCTCTGTGGGTGAGGGGAGGTAGAGAAGAGGATCAAGAACTGAGGTCAGAGCGGATCCGTGGGTGGCTCAGCGGTTTAGCGCCTGCCTTCGGCCCAGGGCGTGATTCTGGAGTCCCGGGATCGAGTCCCACGTCGGGCTCCCTGCATGGAGCCTGCTTCTCCCTCTGCTTCTCCCTCTGCTTCTCCCTCTGCCTGTGTCTGCCTCTCTCTCTGTGTGTCTCTCGTGAATAAATAAATAAATAAATCTTAAAAAACAAAAATGGGATTGTTTAAAAAAAAAAACTGAGGTCGGAGAGAAGAGGAGGAATCGACAAAGGAGATGAGAAGGTGCAAATAGGGGGCCAGGGTGGGGGGCAGGTGGTAGAAGGAAGATCTGGAAACTGTGCTAATTTGGAGGCGAGGGGAGGAAATACAGTATATAACGCATAAGGCATATAAAATATATGTTAATCAACTGTCTACCTTATCGGTAAGGCTTTCAGTAAACAGTGGGTTCTTAGTTAAGTTTTTGGAGGAGTCAAAAGCTACATTTAGAGTTTTGACTGCACCCCTGTGTGGTCAGTGTGTATAACTCCGGTATTATTCAAGGTGAACAGTACATTATAACATGTGTAATATGTATTCTATAAGTAATTGGTATCATACTAAGTTTTTTTATGGCTTGATTTTTTAAACAGCATATTGTGAGAACTTTCCTTTTATATTAATTAGCTTTCAAAAATGTTATATAATATTCTACAAAATATTAATACAGTTTTTAGCCATTTCATGTTGTTTTTATTTTCTAACTAATATAAATGTTGCTACAATAGATGTCTCTGTACTTACTTCTCATTAACTCCTTAGGGAAATATTTCAAGAAGTGGAATTATTGCATTAAAGAATAACATTTGTACGATTTTTAGGGTATATTGTCAAATTGTTTTCAAATAGCATGTGTGACTATATATATATATAGATACTAACAGGGTATTAGAATTCCAAAAATGTTGCTACTCAGCAAATATGAGGAATACAGTTTCCCTATTGAAATTTTTAGAGCCTAAAGCATGCCTTATATGTGACACATGAAATGTTACAAAATTATGTCAATTTTTTTGTAAATGTAATACTGTAACTACTTCTTGCTAAAAGTAACTATTTTAGGGGATCCCTGGGTGGCACAGCGGTTTGGCGCCTGCCTTTGGCCCAGGGCGCGATCCTGGAGACCCGGGATCGAATCCCACGTCAGGCTCCCGGTGCATGGAGCCTGCTTCTCCCTCTGCCTGTGTCTCTGCCTCTCTCTCTCTCTCTCTCTCTGTATGACTATCGTAAATAATAAAAAAAAGTAACTTTTAAATAAGTTTATTTTGAGATAAACTTCAAAGATTGATGCTTTATTTTTTATTTTTGGGTAAATCAAGATTTTTACATATTAAATTTTTATTTATATTAAGGATATCTTTATTCTTTTTCATTCTTAAGTCTATAGCAAAATAGCAACCATTTATACTGATCACTTCCTCTGAGTCAGGCTATGTTCTTTACAAGTACTGGCTCATTTAAACTCCTTGATAATCCAGAGAGGTATGTATATTATTGTCATCACCATTTTATAGGTGAAGATAGTGAAGCTGAGAGAGGTAATTGGCCTGGAGGAAGGCTACCTTATTGCATAATTCCAGGGATGCCAGTCACCTATGATCTTTATGAACAGTGCCTCCTGAAGATGTGCAGTACGCAGCCTATACAACTCTACGCAACAGTCCTAAATAACTAATAAATGATGGCTGGAGCAGAGCAAAGATCAGAGTTATACACAGTGCAAGGTGCATGAAGGGATCTATTTATCCTAAAAGCAAAAGAAAGACATTTGGTGACATGTGCAAAGTAGGGTTTTAAGAAAATTAATGTAGCAACAGAGAGATTGGCATGAGGGAGGGGGGCCCGCAAGCCAGATTGTCTCTAAGAGTGTAGAGTCTAAGCCTGGAACAGTGAGGGCCCAGACCATGTGGACAGGCAGAGAGATGGACAGATGTCATGTGAGAGTCATCACAAAAGATGATCCTAGAGCTGGCTAATCACTGGATTAAGGTAGGCAGTGGGAGGCTGCAGGTGTAGTCATGCTTCGCAGCAATAGTATTCCATCATGGCTCTAGCATAAAGCACTGAATAATTTTCCAGTTATTGCTACTGATTCTTAGTCTTTATTTCATTCTTGGATTAGGAGGCCAGATTGCATATCAGAAGTAAGGGGCTCAGAGCAGGGGCAGGTACTGGGACCAAGGGAAGTGATAAAGGTTTGGAATATCCAGGTGGGGGAATGAGTGATTGCAGACCAGCATGAGGCTGGAGACCATCAATGTGTAGAAGCATCAGTTCACATCTCTTAGAGGAACAAAGAAAACAGATGGTGGAATTGGCCCAGAGTTGGAGATTCGCAGGGCTACTGTGGTACAAGTGTAGCAGGACGTGACAGCTGAAGGTATTGGCAAGAAGAGCAGTGAATTTATAGGTCAGAAAGTCTAGGCTACAGAAGAAAAAAGAAGCCATGAGGGGTTAAAAACAGAAATCAAAGAACTGGAGATCCCGATGATGTCCAGGGGGTAGGTGTGGGTGGAGCATAGCAGGAAAACATTAGGAACATCCTAGGCTATGGACAAGGAGACAGATATCTGGTAATTTAGAAGATGAGGGGTCCAGGATACGGCTACAGGAATAATACTAGCTAACAATTATAGACGAGCTAACATTTATGTATACTTACCATGGTCAGATACTGTTCTAAGCTTTGATATATACTGACCAATTCTCATAACAACTCTGTGAAATATTACTACCCTCCAGACTTACTTCACAGATAATAAAATAAGGTGCAGAGAGATTAGGTAAGTTGCACAAGGTCACACAGCTCTAACTAAATTAAAATAGAGACAAAGATCAAGGATGTGCTAGGTTTCAGTGTTAGAAAATTTATTTGTGTGATTTATAAAACAAAGAGGTTAGTAATAAAAGAAGAGAAGGAGCCTGGCATCTGTTATCCGTAAATGTGGGGAGTGACCTGGAGCAAGTCTCTTCAGAAATAGCCTCATAGATGTAATTAAAAGCCACAACATCATATTGTTCTCACACTTAAAAATATCTTTTCCAAGACTAATATCAAGGAAAATCATATTCATCTTTACACAATTACAGATGAAAGCATTTAGATAAATGTTTTCTATATGAATTTAGCAAAGCCATATCCTTTTTCTGGGCTGACCACAGTGCTAGCATTTTGTTCATTGACCACATACAATTTGGTCCCAAGAACCAAGTCTGCATTCCAAAGACAGACACCTGGAACCAGAGGGACACTATCCATGGTGGTATTATTAACTGGGCTGAGATGCTAAAAACCTACCAAATTCTATTATTATGGACTTTCAGAAACAAGATAAATAACAAAATACTTCTCTTTATTAGGCCCAAGAAATTGAAGGAATCATCTCCAAAAGCTTCTTTTTTTTTCCCCAGGTCCCAATACATATATGATATTTTCCCATAACCTGAAGAAATCTCACCGGATGGGTCTAGTGGGTCCTTCTGGTCCATCCATCTCATAAGAATAAACACTATCCCACTTAAAATCTAGATGCCAGTTGAAAGCACCCCTTACAACAGGAGAAGACTGGTATTCAAGGGTCATATAGTCAATGACATCTATCAGAGGACACACCACCATTTTGGAGTCCTTGGCAATGGCATGCAGCAAGGGCTGCAGCCATGCAGTATTCACCTCGCAGTGGCTATCCAGGAACACCAGAACATCCCCTGGGAAGGCAAAAATAGGCTGGTGTTAGTGCATATGGATAAAACAGCTGACAACCCAAATCGAAGTTCAATGCAAGGAGTATTTCTTAAGTGTTTGCTTTCCATTTCACTGCGGGTGGGTGGGGACCAGAAACACATATCTGAGGCCATGATGAGCCATAGATGTTTAGAAGAAGCTGGTAAACTGTGGGCTAGAGAGTGGTTTGGGGAAATTCTAAAGAAGCAGGTGGAACTGACTTGGCCTTTAATTAAAAAAATATTTTTTTAGCTTGGCCTTCATCAACTGACTCAACTTAGCCAATGTTTACTGCAAGGATGGCTTGTTGGTGTCTTTTGGTGCTTGGGCTGCAAAGATACATAATTATCTTTGCTCTTGAGTTCAAGCTTTAATAAGTGTCTGCTTAGAGAACATGGGGGAAATTGGCATGGCCAAAATGAAGACTATGTGTTGTTAAAGTACATTATATGGGCTCAAATTGGAAGGAACCTCAAAATTCAGGTGCATAATTTAGAATTTTTCTTGTAGACAACACAAAATCATAAGGGGTTATGAGAAACATTCCATGGCGGATCAGAAGACTCAGTATTGTTAAAGTGGTAATAATCTTCAAATTGAGCTATCCGTGCAGTATAATTCTTATCAAAACCACACCTGGTTCTTTTGCAGAAACTGATCCTAAAATTCATATGGAAAGGCAAGGGACCCACATTAGCTAAAGCAATCTTGAAAAAGAACAAAGTTGAAGGACTTCTGGATTTCAAAACTTACTACAAAGCTATAATAATAAAACAATAGGATACTGGCACAAGGATAGACATATAGGCCAAAGGGACAGAATTGAGAGTATAGAAATAAATTAAATATCTGTGGTCAGCTGATTTTTGACAATGGTTCCCAGCCAATTCAATGGGAGATAGAATAGTCTCTTCAATGAATGGTCCTGACACAACTTTCTTTACAAGTCCTGGCTCATTTAAACTCCTTGATAATACAGAGAGGTATGTATTTTATTGTCATCACCATTTTAGAGGTGAAGATAGTGAAGCTGAGAGAGATACTGGTCTGGAAGAAGGATATACACATGAAAAAGAGGGATGCCCAGGTGGCTCTGTCGATTAAGAGTCTGATTCTTGATTTCAGCTCAGGTTTTGATCTCAGGGTCACAAGTTCAATCCCTGCATTGGACTCCATAATGGGTGTGGAGCCTACTTAAGAATACATGAATGATTGAATGAATGAATGAATAAGAATTAAATTGAACCCCCTCACAGCAAACACAAAAACTTAAAAAGGTCAGAACTAAAACTGTAAAACTCCTAGAAGAAAACAGAGGCATACATTTCTGACCGCAGGTTAAATGATTTCTTAGCTATGACACCAAAGATAGACGTGACAAAAGAAAAAATAAATAGGATTTCATCAAAATTAAAAATGTTTGTGCTTAAACAGAAAGTTTAAGACACCACAAAGAAAGTTGAAAAAAAATCTACAAAATGGGAGAAATTATTTGAAAATCATATATTTGATGTAGGATTTGTATCTAGAATATATAAGGAACTCTTACAACTCAATAATAAAAAAGACAGCTTAATTAAAAAATGGACCTGGGTGGCTGAGTCAGTTAAGTGTCCAAATCTTGACCTTGATCTCAGGGTTGTGAGTTCATGCCCTATGTTGGGCTCCATGCTCAACTTAAAAAAAAAAATGGGCAAAGGATTTGAATAGGGATTTCTCCAAAAAAGAAACTAGGTTATGATGATGGTTGCATAACCCCGTGAACATACTAAAAAACACTGCGCTGTGTACGTTAATGGGTGAGTTGCATGTGAATTATATCTCAATAAAACTACTAACATCATTAGGAAAGAAAGAGTACATCTTCTAAATCTTAACTAAAGTGCCATTATTGTTATGTGGGATTCACACAGAATTTTATATCGTTTTTAAAAAGTGATAGAACCTTGATCCCTCAGCTCAGTTTACTGGTTTCTTATCTATTCTTCCAAAAGAGCATCTACATGTTCATGTATATTCTACTGATGTCTTGAATAAGCAGGACTCTTCAGAAGAGCCCCTTTATTTTGTTCCTTTCAATCCACAGGGAGGAATGGTCCTTTCCTGCCCTTGGTTACAAACCAGAGCAGGTCCAAGACTTCCCTTCTTACTTTTTGGTTAACTGGAAGTCTCATAGTTACTTTAAGTTGGAAACATTATCTCAGTTCAGCAATTAGGATGGATCCCTAGTCCCATGCTACAACCCAAATTTCTCAGACTGCATGTGGAACTGCTCATTGTCCCCCCACCCTTGCTAGATCACTTTGCAGGAAGTCACTTGCTTTTGGATTAAATCTTATCTCTTATTTTCTCCCTCCCCAGCTTGCTACCATATTTTCTCACCTCACTGAAGGTCAAAGTGAGGTGAGAGGAGACGTGAATGGGGCAGCAAAGTTCTTTCTCCATAAGATAGCAGGACGCTCTCTGAGCTGATTCCTCTTATGGTATGGCTAGCATGGTAATTTTGAGGACCCGCTTCCCATCCCTGGGGATCTCTCACTTGCAGTTCCCATAAACTGGGAAAATCTATTCTATGTAGATCCAGACTCTCTCCTCAGCAACTTAAGATCAGTGTTCTACCCCAAGCTTCTCCTCTGCTGGGATCCATCCACCCTTCTAGATAGTCCCAGTGACATGACCTAAGATGATCGTTGTTGTCTTGCTCAAACACCCATCACCTGAGCCAATTTTGCCATCAGTGCAGTTACTAACACAGAAGTCAGTGTCCCCGGTTCTGTAGCTAACCATGGTCCTTCTTTTGTCCTTTGATTCCCAGGCAAGAAGCCAACATCAGCTCATTTCTCCTCGCCCCCAATAGATTTCTAATTTGGTTGTGTCTGAGGACACACTGAATCTCAACTCCAGAAATTCATATCAAGTCCCCCTCACAGGCTTCCATGAGCTGCTTTCCTCAAACACCACCACTAATTCCAACAATCTGACAAACGTGGTTACCTTACTGGTTTTCTCAGATGTCTATTTTGAAATTTCTTTATGATAGTATGTCTGACAACCTACTTTGGAATATAACTTCTCTTGTCTTTATGGTTCAACCAAAATAGGGCTAGAAAGAATCTCATTTTTCACAGTATTACGAACACTCTGTATGCACTGTGTTCAACACTTTGCATTTTGCACTTAAAATAGCTTCTCTAATATTATATAACATTAACAGCTTCAAATCATGTCTGCTAATTCAATAGGTGAAAAATTAACATCTGTCCAGAGAAGACCTGCAAATGGCCAGCATGCCCACAAAGAGATGCTCAACATCATTAGTCATTAAGGAAATGCAAATCGAAACCACAGTGAGATACCAACTCATAACTGCTAGGATGGTTAGAATTTTCTTTTTAAAAGACAGAAAATAACAAGTGCTGGCAAAGATGAGGAAAATTTGAAACTCTTACACCCCCCTGGTGAGAATATAAATGATACAGCTGCTGTGGAAAAGTTTGGTAGTTCATCAAAAAGTTAAATAGAATAATCGTATGACTTAGTTATTCCACGCTTAAGTACACACTCAAAAGAATTCAAACAACAACACATGTGCACTTGTTCGTAGAAGTCCTCTTTACAAGAGGGAAAAGGTAAAAACAGCCTATATATCCAGCAACAGATGAATGGAGAAACAAAAGTAGCATTTATACAATGGAATATGTATAATTCCATATTCCATTAAAGGAATGATATGCTGATCCCTGCTACCTGTAGAATAATCTCAAAAATATTGTTAGGTGAAAGAGCCAGATACAAAAAGTATGACTGACTCTATTTACATGAAGTGTCCAGAATAAGTAGATCCAGACACAGCAGATTAATGGTTGTCAGGGGCTGGGAGAAGGAAAAATGAGGAGAATCTGCTCAACGGGCATGGGGATTTCTTTTGGGGTGATGCAAATGTTTTGGAACAGGAGAGAGGTGGTGTTTACCCAACATTGTGAATGTACTAAATGCCACTGAACTGTTCACTTAAACATGGTTAATTTTGTTATGTAAATATCACAATAATTTTTAAAAACCTGCCAAAGAAGACATGCAAATGACCAATAGACACATGAAAAACTGTTCAACATCATTCATCATCAGGGAGACGCAAATCAAAACCACAAGAAGATATTACTTCACACTCGTCAGAATGTCCATTATTAAAAGGACAAGAACTAAGCAGTGTCGGGGAAGATATGGAGAAAAGGCAATCCTTGTGCTCTGGTTGTGGGGATATGAATTGCCACTACAGAAAACAGTATGGAGGGATCCCTGGGTGGCGCAGCGGTTTAGCGCCTGCCTTTGGCCCAGGGCGCGATCCTGGAGACCCGGGATCGAATCCCGCGTCGGGCTCCCGGTGCATGGAGCCTGCTTCTCCCTCTGCCTGTGTCTCTGCCTCTCTCTCTCTCTGTGTGTGTGACTATCATAAATAAATAAAAATTTAAAAAAAAAAAAAAAAAAGAAAACAGTATGGAGTTCCCTCAAAAAATTATAAAATACAAGTACCACGTAATCCAGCAATTGCACTTCTGGGTAAGTATCAGAAGGAAATGAAATCTATATCTTGAAGAGTTACCCACACTCCCGTGTTCATTGCAGCATTATTTACAGTAGCCAAGACACAGAAACAACCTAAACATCCATCAACAGATGAAGGGATAAAGAAGTTGTACTATGTATACAATGGGATATTATTATCATATCAGCTATAGAAAACAGAAGGAAATCCTGCCATTTGTGACATGGATGGACCTTGAAGGTATTATACTAAGTGAAATCAGTCAAACAGAGAAACATAAAATATCGTATGATCTTCCTTATATGTGGAATCTAAAAAAGACCCTGAACTCTGAGATTTGGAGAACAGACTGGTGGTTGCCAGAGGTAGAGGGAGGGTGAGATGGGTGGAGGTGGTCGACAGGTACAAATTTCCAGTTATAAGATAGAGAAGTCCTGG